TACAGAATACAGATACTATTTAACAGAATGAGAGAGAGAGAGAGAGAGAGAGAGAGAGAGAGACATGGGATGGAGAAAATAAAGGAAGAAAGAATGATAGAAGGAAGTTAAAACTGAGTTTAAACAATCTAGGTGAACAGTAAGAATCAGGATACAGAGTCAAATTGTTAAGAGAGGTTTAAACAAAACAGAAAAATATGAGTGGTTTGGTTTGGAATTATTTGGGTTATTTGTCTTTGCACAAGAGCGAGCGACAATCAGTAATGAGTGATTCATTAAGTCTGTAAGTAAATCTACCTTATCTCAAGAGGGACAAAATGCCCTCAGATGCGGCTTTTCACACACACATACATTCAATCCTAACTAACCAGAGAATAGTTTACACTTAAAGCTACAATCCATCCTTTGAAAGAACCCACTCTCATACCCTTCTCACCAAACATTAGCTTATTTGACTAACTTTACCGTTCATACTTCTAAACTATAAAAATAAGTTTCAAATGATAATGGGATCAAACCCTGAGAGCAAGTTTCACGTCCTAGTTTCCAAACAAACAAACTGTGTAGAAATCCACCTTTAATGCATTCTGCATGGAACTGTTCAAGACGGTTTGATTAATTTTAAGAAGAAAAAAATAGGGAAGGGGGGGGGGGGTGATGGAGAATATGAAATCTGGCCCTGTATACTAATATTAATATCAATATTACTATTGCTATCCGCAGGGACTCAATATTTTTGGTTTAACGGAATTTTTAAAAAACAAGAGAGAGAGAGAATAAAAAAAGATGAACTCAAATATAGTCGGTTAGTTGATAAAATGTTTAGAGCTTTTTAAACCATAGATGACATATTCAAAAAAAGATTATCTTTTCTAAGTTCGCATTTTGCCAAAAGTGAATTTTATTTTTGTCCGACGTCCCCTCCCCACCTCCTTACAGACCAATAGTTTTATTTTTAAAAAACTCTGACGACGCCCGCCCTTTACTGACTGTACGTTGACAATAGTGTTTAGTTATTCTACCTGTGAAGAGAGTAAGGGATTCATTCGAAGTGATCATGTGATTGGTATTGTTTCTTAGTGATTTCTTAAAAAGGAACCGAGAATAGATTTAGTTGACGAGTATGGTGATGGCGGTGCCGCCGGTGCGTAGTTCAGTTGGGAGACATGATAGATTACCTGTTGGGTGAGATGACATGATTAATTAAATGCGCTTCTTGTCACATTGTAGAAGATAGATGAACGCCTACGTGAAGAATGAGAGACATGATTGATCACGGTGAAGTCAGAGGTTCAAAATGAAGCCTCGGAACAATGTTGCCAATTTGAACCCTGTTTCCTGTGTTTTCCGAGTATGTGGTTACATGAAATCAATCCCTTGTTTTGATTGGAAGGTATCTTGTAGGATGACCTCTGACATGGGTTTCTCATAGGGCGATTTCGAAATGCAACCCAGGTCGTGGATGTGTCCTTTTTCTAATGTATTTATGTTTCTCTTCTTTTCAAATAAAGTCAGAGACAATCACACATATTTTGTTTAAATGTCATTCTTTCTAAAGAGGGTTGAAACTGTCACTTTGCAACTAAGAAAATAACGGTTTTAAATCTGACATTCTGCTTTATCAATTTTCTGAATGCTGATTACAAAGTTGCTGGAGAAACTATGCATGTTATTTCACTTTCTCTTATGTAGTTTGAGTAAAATTCATGATAATAACAAAGAAAAATGGATTATAATATCTACGCCTCTACACCTTGTCACAATTTGATTTTGAACTCAGTGCCACAATTACAATTAAATAAAGATCAGTGAGATTCGAATTGGGTCTTTAGGTTGTTGATAATTACTATGTCAAACTTTAATTTTAGACCAATATCATTGAGCTCACATTCAACTGACAAATATTAATAATTCCCTTTCTCATAACTAATTTATAAGATTTACTTTGTAATAGACTTTATCAGCTCGATGCGATAACGGGTGATAAGGGGCGTTGTTTTACGGTTGATTCGCACAACCTTGCGTGCAACACAGACATGTAAATACACGCAATGCGAAGGTCTTGTACGGAATCAGCAAAAAACGTCGACCTTTTGAGTTAATTTTTGATAGTGTAATTACAGGTAGCCGAAGTTTTTATTTACTTTGTGGCCAAATTTCAACTAAGTTTACTTTGCTGGTTTACATTCCCGATTAGAGATACGTGTTCTGTAACATGGCAGTTACTTGCTTTATGTATCAACTTACTCGTCCCCAAACATCTTTTTGTTACAAGAAAGAAAGAAGAAAAAAAATCTTGATTGTAAAAGAAAAAGAATGATTGCATGATCAGCATAAGATTTAAACATTAGATAAGATGACTGTAGGAATCGGCTTTTAGGATTGATTCAAACATTTATAATTCATTTTGAGTTTTTACCTATCGTGGAAAATGACAAAAAGTAATACAAAGATTAGTTTCTCGAGTTACTCCGTTAAATCCCTCAGATCATCGCGGATTTATGAGCCCTCTACTTTACTCATGAGCCCTCTATTTCTTTTCGAGAATGTTCAATTTCTCATAACTCCAACTTGTAATTCCCGAGGCACGGATGCGAATTTTGATAGAAAACTACATCTGTTCTAATTATCACGTTCCGAGAAATAATATTCGCGCGAAGTTTAGCGAACGGCTGTTGGGAGGGGGGGGGGGGGGGGGGGGGGGGGGCTGTGACTATGGGAACGCCGATATTAGTTTGCTGCAATGCCGCGGTAATTTACATGTGTCTAACTGTCTATAGTTTAAAAAAAAATTAAGCACCATCATCAATTGAAAATAATCGAATATGAAGTGATGGTCTCTTGTTTTGATCTTTTGATCTGTAAAAAGGGTTTATGAATAAAATTACCTTTAATTTTTGCTCTTTTTCTACTTGCTAATAATTTGATGTCTTTGTTTAAAACAAAAGTGTTTAAATTGATTCAATGTCAAATGGAGACTTCAAGCTCTGGGTGAATTTTAGTTTAGACCTCCATCATGATGATCATGTCACCTTCATTATCGCAAAGGTCTTTATTCGGATCATAGATAAAGATAACTTTCACGGTCACAATCACAACTAATAACTTAAGAGTATCATGAGCTTTAAGCTTAAGGCACTTTGATAATGAAAACATTATATCATTGCCATTCGTCGGCTAGAAGATATTTCAATGCAATGTCACTTTGGTTCGACAAGGCTTTTCCCTTCTCAACTTCAATGGAGCTCTTGCGATCTGGTGGTCTTACGAGTCGCTTGGTACGTCGCCTTGCCCCGGCAGTTAGGGCTGGGATTGTAGACCACACCCCGCTGGAGCGCTCAGCGGCTCGTTGTAGGATTACCAGTAGACTACACAGGCTTTATAGCTCGGTCTTGATTGGCAAAACATTGCCATGTTTTTGAGTGACATGCGTTTATATTTTTCCTCTCAAGTTGAATGCAAACAGAGTACTTCAAAACGAGAGAGAATGGCGAATGTCAAATGGATCATCTCGTAAATGGATTTACAAATTATGGCATGTAGAATTCAGAAGCGGAGAGGGGAAGCAAAACATGTACAGTCTAAAGTAATATAAAAGTAGTTTAGGTGCGATAGATTGATTGCGATTGAGATATAAATTATGTTATGATATCAAAATATGAGAAACTGTCGAACTTTACTGAAATGATATGTCAATTGAATAATTTATAGAGGAATTTATGTAGAGAAATGTATGAGGAACATTCTTGTCACATTTATTTTTCCTGTAGCAATCCTGCCCTTATATTAATATTTTTTGTTACCTATCCAAATAAATTCGATGGGAAACTAACATTAAACCATAATTATAAAAGAGATATTAGTTTGATGACATTGAAGCAAATTGTTGTATTGAAGATAGAGCTTGAGATATTTAGAATATAAAAGATAACACGACTTCGGGTTTTTTTGCCTTTAAAATTTATGAGGAGGGCAGAATGAAGTCGTAAAATGTCTTCTTCACTGAACGGTTGGTCCAAATTGTTCGATGAGTGAGGTTTTAAAGTTTGTGAATGCTTTTAGGCATAATTTCTTCGAAAAGTGACAGACCACAGGTACTATTATGATGTATGGTTAGAAACGTATTATATTATGGGTGATACGGGCGTAGGATGGATAGAGTTTTAAAGGGTGATCGATTGTTAAAATGTGCTTAAAGAATGCCCCTATACCTACAACAATTTTTTGGAAAAAAGGGGCTTCTGAAATAGTTGAATGATTGTTTGAATGTCTGAATATCGGGGTATCTCTCGGATAAAACAAATCGAAAGCACATTGTTCTGCCGGACATATATCCCGAATTGTGTTATCTTCTCTTAATTTCAAAGACAATTAAAACAACTTTTTATCAATTTAGCCCAACTAGATCCACAAAGGAAACGTAATTTCACCAAAAATTAAGGAATAGAGGACATAATTTATCACTGTTATATTCTTGTTACTGGACATCTCATTCTCGAGGTCCTTTCCGAACGTTGAAACGCAGTTTCGCTAATTTTCAAAATATCATTTATTGTGACGAATTTCCCTTCGTTTTATGTTATACTGTAACCAAAATCATGTAAATCATAATTGCATCTGTCATTTTCTTATATATTTATCTGAAACTGGAAATATATACATTTTTAGTCATTATTGGTTGCAAATATTATGATGGTTTACGTTTATGATTATGAATAAGTTTTACTCAAGGAAGAGACTATTTTTTTTGGTAATACTCCAATCACTTTGGGCTTTTGTCAGTACTTCTTTTCTGATTGAAAGAAAAGCATACCAGTATTACATAAGTAAGAAAAACAAACAGACAAATGAAAATTGGAGACGTGGAGTTATAAAAATAGAAATATGTTATCGTTCTTTTCAAGCAGCTTTATACAAAATAAGCTGAGCTCAGATTTAATCTATTTATGCTGAAACCTAAGACAACATTTTTCTCTTCGTTTCTTTTCTTTTCTCTAAAGAAGCAGAAGCTCAGATGATGAAGAACATGGAAGGTTACACAGCTGTCTGGCCTAATGAGTATGGACGTAAGTAGTAGTAATATAAAAAGCCTTTTATTCTCCTGAATGAAAATAAAACCTCCTATTTGATATACCCACTGCATAAAGGCAGTATATGACTGTGCATTAGAAAACATTAGGAAATAAACCAAAATACATGTATTAAGTGTTTTAAAATCTGCAGTCTTTCAATATAGGTCTATACCATTTCCTTTTCATCGCCTCGAATAATAGTTCCTTCGCTTGTTCTGTTTATTTTTAGTTATTTATTTATCATAAAGTTTGTGGGGGTGTGGTGGATGCCCCCCCCCATTTTCTATTTTACTACTTCTTACACCATCACTATCACTACTGCTACTACTGCTACTACTACTAATTCTACTATATTACCACTACCATTTATATTGTAGTGTTATTTTCATTAAAGAGCATGAACGACAATGATTCCTATTTTTCCTCCATTCTGATAATCGATTAATTTGCTTATTCACCTGCAGTGGGTCGTGAGTGTGTGAACTGTGGAGCCATCTCCACCCCACTGTGGCGCCGGGATGGTACCGGTCACTATCTATGTAATGCATGCGGTCTCTACCACAAGATGAATGGATACAACAGACCTCTCATCAAAAACCCAAGAAGATTGGTAAGCACTGAAAAACATTTTATAAGCACTGAATAAGAGAATGGTAAATACCAAAAACGAAATTGGCAAATCTGAATGGGAGTTTGGCAAGCACTGAGTAAGAGCCCAATAGGCACTGAATAAGATATTAATAAGCACCCAATGTGAGATTGATAAGCAATGAATACAAAATTGAACAGCACTGAATAAGAGAATAATGAGCATTGAATAATGGATTGATCAGAAGGGAATGAGGAATTGGTAGGAATTGAATAAGGGATTGGTAAGCACCGAATAGAAAATTGGTAAACACTATTTAAGAGATTGAAAAGAATTAAAAATATTTGTAAGCACCGAATAGGAGATTGATAAACACCGAACAAGAGATTGGTAGACACTAGACACCTAATAAGAGATAGCACTGAATAAGAGGTTAGTAAACACTGAATAAGAAATCCATTATGAAGTATTGGTTGAGAGAAAGAAATAAAGTAATAATAATAATAAAGTAATAGTTATGCTCATGATCTGATGATGTTCTGTCTGATCCACTACTTTTCAGCAGTCTGGCTCAAGACGAGAAGGAATTACATGTGCTAACTGTCACACTAGCACTACAACACTGTGGCGTAGGAATAAAGACGGTGAACCGGTCTGCAATGCTTGTGGCTTGTACTTCAAATTACACGGCGTAAGTATAACTCAATCGATTTTATTCTTAAATTATTTATATTTGTATTACTCTTTATCCAAGAAGATGAGCTATAGTGTATTAATCTATTTCATCATAATGATTATGAAAATAAAACAGAAATATTATAATTCTTATTGGATGTTTTTGCTTGGATGATATTCAAACAGAGATCCAGCTAAATACATGCAGATGACAAAGAAACAATGTTGTTGCATAATTCTACATCGGTAAGGTGCTAGTAACTTCTTGGTTAGAGTGGATAGACACGCTTTGCCCTTAATTTGATACACTTTTCGTTTGGTGCCTTCTTGACAGGTCTACCTCATTAAAAGTACAACTGACTTTCCACAACAAATGAAATGCACCTTACTATCTCCACTTATCACTTGTATGGGATGATAATAAGCTATTTGTTTCGTAATATCACTGGAGAGTGACCGTAAGGATATCCTCTTCTTTTTTCCTTTCGTCTTTTTGATTAGCACCAAATAGATGAGTGACCTTGCAGATTTGGGGTCAATGTAAAGGGACATTGTTTGATCGGACTGTGTTACACAATTATTATAGATGCTTTCTTTATTTATTTGGAAAGGTGAACCTTTTTTTAATGTCGTAGAACTGATATCAAAGTGACTGCGAAATGGGAAATTACGTTGAATCAAAGGATTCAACAGAGAAAATAACCACATTTACAGCATGTGCATGCATGAAGATATCAGAATATTTGATGGGATACACTGTTGACTGTTATCTGTTCGATTAAGTAATAGTTTAATATCGAGGAGATCGGATACATTTAAAACTTACAAGTTGGAAGAAAAAAAGTATTCTTGTGAGCATGATAAAAGTAGTGCTATATATGAAATGAACAATACGATATAAAAATGAGACAGAAGAATAAGAGATAACAACAAATACAAATTAGAAGGAAAACCAGACTTGCTTCGTTGTGTAGAGGAAAAAGGATCTCGTGAAGAAGATAAATCTAGACTGTACAGAAAAAATAAGTCTTTGATAAAAATGTTGGAGTGGAAAAAAGAAAGAAAAAGCAGTACCAAAGTAGGACTTGCAAGTTGCAGAGAAAAGGGAGATAGAGAAACCATATCCACAAATAAATGAAATGCGGTTTCATTTAGAATACAAGGATGACTAATAAATTTTGAGTCCAATGACGCAGTAAACCAAGATATATGGTATATTCGATTTTATCTGTAAAAAACCACTCGGTTCCTGAATGCTCGAGACCTTTGCGAGGATGGACTATAACAAAGGGTATTTTTTACCTTGTAAGCAAGCTTTTAATAGAAATTTACTTGGACATTAACCGGAATGCTTCGTAATGGCCATGGGATGTTGAGTTCAGCTGCATTATGATGACTTACAGAAGGTCACATGTGCCGTATTAGTTCACGATGTGCATGTTTATTTCATAAAATACGCTATCATTTCATTCTTTATGTTTGTATTGGTATTTTAATATATTTTTGTTTTTCATGTTTTTCCATCTATAAAAGATAAATATTGTCGAACTCTTTTAAAATTAAATACCCAACCGATGTATTACTATAAAACAAATTAACAAAAGACAAAAAAAAAATAAGATACAAGATACAAATAAGAAGAAAATGATTGACAAAGATTGGATCAAGATTCTAGATGAAGAAGGGAATGAAAAGGATTACAATTTATCTTTTCCGTCTATTTAGGGGTACTTTATAAACATAAATCATGATATAACTTTCAGGCATATATGCACAGTGTAGATGGACATTCTTCAGAGTACCTCTCGCAAGTCACCTGTAATGGCAATTTTCTTTTCGTTTCTGTAGGTCAACCGCCCTCTGGCGATGAAAAAGGATGGCATTCAGACTCGGAAGAGGAAGCCTAAGAATCCCAACAAAGGAAATCAACAGAGCAACGCACGCAATGGCGGTGGACAATCATCACCTAATGATGTCAACATTAAGGCTTCCTCACCAACCGGCAAACAGTCGTCTCCATTGCCCACCTCCTCGCCCTATACCAGCCACCCTATCAAAGTAAGAATATCCTCCAGAGTCCAGACTGTTCAAGTTGGAAGGTTCTTGGTCAACTTATTAATTCTCTCAGAACTCGAACTCGTAGGCCTACCCAAACCTAGCTGGTTACATCTGAACCCACATGGTGACCTTGTCTGCAGACTATCTGATTTCTTGATACCAACTCTCAATTGTTTCCTCATGAAATTGCTAATGAAAACAGCAAGGAAAGAAATTTAGGGTGTAGCATTTAGACATTCAAGGCCCGGCTTCAAGGACTTCAAATCATTATGAAAGAACAAACATGGTGAACCTAAGAATGTAATATGAACTTTTGAAAGAACTGTCGTTTACCTTTACCTTTGTTCATCTATGTTTTTAACTTGATGTTGCAGGTAGAACCTCAGTACCGTGTAGGACTGTCCCCTCCACCGATCACCAACCAAGTATCCTACATCCCTGGCCTGGTGCACCACAGTGGACCCATCTCATCAGCTCAATCCCTCCATCACCACCACCATCACCCTGGCTCCTATGCTGCTCACCTAGGAGCACCACCGACTCATATCAGCCATGGAATCAACAGTGAGCAAACCCTACATCTTACCCATCAGCCAGGACAGACCATCCTCCTACACAATGGACCAGCTAACTCTGCTATCAATCCTCTCAATCTCAGCGCTAATACCAATGGTGGTGTGTCCCACCATGCAGGCAGTCCCGGTGAGATGACCAACACGGACTCTACCTCACCACATCATGTCTTGTTCAGTGGAGTTAATCCCTCTCCACCATCCGCCGTTGCCGTGCCAGTCTCAGTTTCCAAAGTAGATTCTGAATGAGAAATATGAATTATATACCCTGCAATATTTCATATGACATATTATAGAAAGAAGAATAAAATCATCATTCTGACCTAGATTTACCTCTTCATCGAATGTTGTTTATGCCATGATTCCAAAGATATTGCTTCAGTTATTATTACGTCATTGTATATAGTTTCATTTTCCACATAAACCTCATTCAACTCCTTATTGATTCCACACATTTTTGTGGAAAAACGTGAAGAAAATCAACAAAACTACGTCATGGATAAATAATGATTTCATGAAAATGACTCTTAAAGCTTGGAAAGAGATCTTTTTCCAGAGGAAATCACCAGAGACAAGGACATGAGAGCGAAGATGATTGTGTTGTGACCAGAAAGATATACAATATTGATCTGATACCAGCAAGGGTCTGACATACCACAGATACATTCATATTGGTCAGATCACTCATAATTAAGCTTCGTTATACATTCATGAAACCCCTCCTTCAGATAATTGCCAACAACCACATAAATGGTGTGACATGACGTGTTTCTAAATGGAGGAAAACTGATGATGTGATTCAAACAATTCTAGTTTGAAAGTAAGATAAGATCACTCTCGTTACTCTGACTAATATTGGATGATAGATTGCAAGCATGATTATGTGCCACCTCCATGCACGTTTAAACTGATGATATACTCACAGTCAAGGTCCAGGATACGGACCAGTTAAAGAACTATAACAAACTATTATTGTTGTACTTTAACTAAAGGTCAACAGAACAACCTTGATAGTGAGAAATATAGTTTTATGTAACCTTTTAAATCTTTTCTCACCAATGATTGCATGCATTATCAGAGTTATATAATGCATAACATCTGACATAACATTATGACTGCACTGCTTAAAAAACTACTTATCTACTTACGGTGACTGTATATGTGTATCACAAAGCCTCACTTGCGAATTAGATAATTGAAAAGATAAGCTGTGACGATTATTCTAAACTTGCCAGACAACCTTTATTTGCATTGCCATGTTCTCTAATATTGCCAAATTGATATAATGAAGAAAAAACTTGCCCATGTTAGCATTCTACAGTTAATTAGAATGAAGATGTGTTTGCTGTCCGTTTGTAAATCACTAAAACGTTGAATATAGATTTTGCGTTGCATCTTGGGGAACTGAGAAAAATGTAGGAGTGGAACTTCTGTTGGGAATACCAGTTCAGATCGTCACTATATTGTGGGGGTGAGTTCGGTTTTCGGAACTTCATAACTTTTAGAACAACATTTTTCCTCCGACTTAAGTAAACTTACAATGTTCGGTTGTTCTTCTTTATGTTCCATTGTTCCACTCGAAGCAACCTGTTATCAACGTATGATTATCCTGTAACAAGGAGCTTCTAATGATTATGTCATTTTAAGGAATATGCTTAAGAAACGAGCAACGATTTAAATGATAGATCAATGTAAATTTGATTCTATAAACATGTACGTCGCGTTGCAGTTTCTAACCTTTCTATTCATGTTATTTTGTTTTAGTTCAAGAAACGTATTTTGCTTTTCATATCATGTGATCACCGCGTTTTCACCTATCTGGTTCCATCGTTGTATACTCATGAACGGTGGTAATATCTTGTAAATAGTTTTGGTATTATCTTCGAAGAGTTTATATCTGTAACCTCACAGACATGTGTCAGTATTTTCTTTGTCTAACGGAAGTACCCTATTATAAATATAGCTCCTTAAGGCGTGCTGTCGTTTTTCAGTTATCGATCTTTAGGGAAAGTTGTAGATATTACTGTTTCTGATAAGATAACGGCTTACGATAACTTAGAAACAGAAATCGTGTAATATACCATAAATTCATAACAGATATCGGCGATAAGTTAAAAAAATCTTCATATTTTACTGTGTTAATCTTCATAAGGTGACCATTGTTCGAATGTTTGACCAGAAGGGATATGCTGTTGTGTTTGTTGCTAATAATATAAAGCAACATTTCATGTAAAAAGGATTGCGAAAAAAGAAACAATAACGTTACTATGAACAAAATTTGAGATATATCCCCTAGTTGTAGAATTAAAGGGAAACGAAATATTAGATCGGAATGTATTAATTGATAGGGTATATCTAAACTCGAAATGGTACTCGTACGGTAAAATCTTTAGCCATAGTTATATAAGTATAGATTTAAATTGTTTTAGATTATATTTTGTAATTTCAAACATAATGATGAATTCAAAGGAGTCCATTAATTGCGGCAATATTGTTGTACATTACATGAAACAAGTCCATACGGATTAAACCAAAGACTTAACAGTGATGATTATAATTACTGTGTACTATATTATGATGAGCATAACTATTATCATGTTAAGTACTTAATCATTGTCCAGTTCAGTGTGATATGTTATCCTGATGTTATTTATTAATCGATGTATCATTTGAGAAACTAAATTACATGAACTATAATGTTTATGGTTAACAAAATCATAATCGTTTACAATTGCAAATACATTTCTACCGATTCCTTATTATTTCGTTTTGGATATTTCGCAAGAAATTTTTAAAACGATGTTACATTGCTGTTTGATTCACTGTTGATGGATTGATGATGATTGATTTCTTCCTTGATCAAAACTGTGTTGATTGATTGAATGTAAAGCTGATTTGCTGAATGAGTGATTGGCTGTGCAGCAGAAGAATTGATTGTTGGCTTATAAATTAAGTGATATTGATCAGTTGGAGCATTGATCGGTTGACTGAAAGATTGGCTTATTGATTGATTGAGTTACTGATTGATCATTGGTTTATTGATTGATGTATTGATTGACTTGAGTGGGAACGGGTGCATGTGCTCCATAATCGAATGGCGAAATTAGAAAAATGGGAGAAGAGTAGAGAGAGAGAGAGAGAGAGAGAGAAATGTGGAGAGAAGAAGGAATTTGAAGGTGAATAATTTTTTTTACCTAATCCCACCCCTTAACCCATCGACATGTAAGACCGCCTCCCCCTTGTCAGCAGCCCCATCTCAAAGGCTGGTCTCATGATACCTCTTTGATTAGTCGCATTATTAGTTGATGGTTTAATTTGTAATGATTGGTTCATGGTAGTCGGCAAATAAAAAAATAACCCCACGAGAGACAGATAGATTTATCACCACCAAAAGTGAACTCTCCTCTTTTTGGTTCGCCATAATTAGGCATACTAAAGAAGAGCTGCTCGGGATTAATTATATTGGCACCTTGAGGCTGGGGAAACTGACCTAATGAAGAAATGAAACAAATACATAACCAGGCCTAGTGGCCTATTGATTAAGGACATGGCACCGTTAATCATAAAAACGGACATATCCATGCATATTAGATATACTTACAACACATTATGCATGTAAGGTAAAGTATATAGGCGTTTTTTTTTTTTTTTTTCGAGAAAGGGCACTTAAAGGTACTATGTACCTTTTGCAGCCAACCCCAAATTCTGTAGAACTTTGCAGGAATTATGAATATTATGCAAGGAAACCCGTTTACTTGCTAGACTACACTGTGAGACACTATTGAGTGACTGACTGGCTTTTTTCTTCTTTGGTAATAACATACATGAAACGAGTTGTAAAGGGTACATGAGCATTTGTCTACATCAATAACCCACTTCTTGTGATGGCCAAGATTAAACTGATTGAATCTCTGCGCAGCATAAAACGTATGACCATTCTGTACAATATTTGTCTGAAAATCTAAAGACTATTACTTTTGGGCTCTATAGCCCTAAAGTCGATTTGAAAACTAATAGTTGTTATTTTCTCACTTGAAGACATTTTCAAGCCCCACCTTTTTTAGGGAAGTTCTAAATTAGTATTATCTTTCAAATGCAGTTGGAACTTAACTTTTTCATTTTTTTGGCCTGCAAATGGGACATAGTACCTTTAAGTAATGAGGAGGGATATTTTTTCCCGGAATGCTAGATACTATGATTAAAGTCGTTGCTATAAAAAAGAATAGAACAGCTATGAAAAAAATAACCTCTCTATCTTCTTGTCTTCTTCTTTTTCTCTTGCTCCTCGATCTTCTCTTCTTCTTCCTTGGGTGTCGGAGATCAACGGCACCAGACTGCCTGTTATGGGGGTGCATGACATACAAGAAGAGTGTTAGCATTGGCTTAGTCTTGGCAACCAGAAGCTCGTATTGAGTGGATTCGAAAGATGAAGTGGAGGTTTGTGATATGTAAAGGCATGTGGGCAGGGGCGGAGGAACGACCTCCAAAGTGGGAGGAGGGGGGCGCCAACAAAAACGGCCACTTTAAGGAAGAAAAGGGCACCTACAAAGGAAAAATCTGAAAGCAGAAATATACAATTTTTTAATACATTGGTATATTGTGATGACATTATCAGGTATGATTTCAATATTTGTTTCTCTTTATATACCATACAAGATATTGCATAAGCATCATTCTTTGCAGTTGGGTGTGATGGTTCGGAATCAATTTGCGAGCGAGGAAACATTCTTAAGATTTGTTAGGTCGCAAAGCGAAAAAATACAGCTTATAAAGAGGAAAAACCCCAATCCTGTTGGGGTTATAGGCACATTCTCCTATAACGGAAGACTGAAAAGGCCTTGATAAGCAACATATAGATATCATCTCTAAATGCAAGCGAGGGGTGCAATTTATTGTGCACCACATCAAACTCCCCTACTTTCAGTCAAGTATTTCATTGTATTATGTAGTTTGGTAGGTTTATTTTACTAACTGTTTAATTATCTAATATATCAATGATAGTTTAAAGATATGGAAAAGATTCTTGTATTTTATATTTAGCAAAGCAATCTCACATACAAAATCATTATCAAGTGTCGTCTGATCCGCCGATTGCCGTCTGCTATATACGCGAACTAGCTACGTTTGTGCATGTCCCTGGTTTGTGCTAGCGAAAATGAGACAACCGGAGCAATATATTTCATCTCTGATTAGCGTCATTTTAACCTCTAATAATACCTTTTTTTAAATTAAAAAAAAATTCTTATAATGTTCTCTTTCCTTATTATAAGTGCCCCTGTTCAGGTGCGATAAATACCCCATTTCAACCTCTAATAATGGCCCTTTGTACTAAATATTTTAATCATCCCTGATAATGTAATCACAATGTAAGAGGATATAATCGTATACCAATGTCTAGGCGCGCCGGAAGCAGATTGTTTTGTTTGTTTGTTTGTTTGTTTGTTGTTGTTGTTTTTTTTTTTTTTTTGGGGGGGGGGGGGGAAACATTCCAGGGGCTCATCTTCCAGGGGCAGTGGCATAATGGGCAAAAACGTTTTTTTTCGGGGGGGGGGGGGGGCAGAAGAAAAATCTGCATCACCATCAATCTTACATGCAGGCCCCGCGGAACGTTTTTCAAAATGGAGTATTAACGATCAGGTAGAGCGTAACGAGCGTAAAGAGCGTAAATTGAAACAGGGTCCAAGGGTTTTGTCCCATGTGCGGCGGGGGTCAAGGGGCTGAGCCCCCGGAAAGCTCAGGGTTTTTAGGTATTTAATTATGGTCAGATAAGCATCCAGGGGCACTCTTCAGGGACCTGGTTGGGGTCCAGGGGGCAGAGCCCCCGGTAGCTCAGAGGTTTTAGGTATTTTATTACGGTCAGATGAGCATCCAGGGGCCATCGTTTCAGGTATTTAATTACAGCCAGATTATCATATTTTGATACCTTATTTGTGACATTGACAGGTCACTCATTTTTTCTCTCTCTTTATTTCTTTTTCTCTCTAATACTTTTTCAAAAAAGTGAGGGGGGGGGGGGGGGGGGCTCGAGCCCCCGAGCCACGACGTTCTGCAGGCCCTGACATGAAGGCTTCTAAACAAGCATATTTTTTCGCCCGACTGTAAATTTGGGAATAAGTTATTCTCCAACAAACGCATAAAAAGGTACGATTTACAAAAAATTGAGAAAAAATACCGGAAAATCATGTCATTTTAGCAACATTTGTAAATCACTGGTATCGAATGAGAACCTCTATAATAAAAAAAATACAAACGTACGCTTTCCCATTCTCTCACAATATTTCCATGATATGCGGTTATCGCTAATATGCCTTCATTGATAAATATAGGGGCATGCGGAATGTATAGGAAATTTAATTCCTGTTAACTTTCCTTTTCTTTGAATTGAATCTTCACTCCTTTTTTCTTGTTGAAAGGAGGGGGGGGGGGGGCGTTTAATTTTTTTTTTTTTTGGGGGGGGGGCGAAAAGGCGAAACTGTGTTTGCCTCCCACTTTTTCGGTTGGGGGTGGGGGCGCCCCCTGCCCCCCCCCCTCCCGGCGCCTATGCCAATGTCCAACAAATTGTATATTTCCGCTTTGAGATCCCTCTGTCGGTGCCCCTTTTTTCTCCAGAAACTGAGAAAGTCCCCCTTTTCTTCGGTGCTGCCCCCCCCCCCTCACTTTGGCAGTCGCTCCGTCGCCCCTGAATAGTATGCCATTTAAAAATCATGTTTGTCCGTCAATGACGATGGATGGCGGGCAAAATAAAAAGATAACTCAGCACTTCTTGCGTCTACAAAAAATCGAGGTGTGATGAGACAAAGATGATAATTAGGCTAGCGAGTCACGATTGCGTCACGTCACCGCCCCACATGTGCACACAGTACATGACCATAATTACTGGCAGTACATTTTCGTCTGCACATGTAAACATATCATCGAACTGAATACTCAGCAAATAGTTTGAGCAAGAGATATTACACGGTGACCTGTAAATATGCAAAAGTGGATTGCTAACGTGGGTTAAGTACGGTAAGTACGTTGTTATTTGTATTTATTATCCCGTTTGAAATGTTTCCTACCCGTATATTTACGAAATGAAATTAATATTGCCCCACATATTGATATCTGCGTGAGCTATTTAAACTGAGTTAAAACTTTTCACCTGTATTCACCTAAGACCATCTCCGAACTGAAAAATGAAATGGATAAATCATATATCGAACTAAAGCTTATTAGCCATAGAGTACAGTAATTGCTATTAATTTGCTCACAAAGTGTCATGCAGAGGAGAAATAATTGTTTAGATTCTACTTTGAAAGCTTGAATTCAAGAACATCAAAACCCGGAATTAATCACATAAGACGACTTGATGACGTTGGCATATATGCCACCGGTTGCTTCTTCACTTGTGTTTACATGCTGTTAACATGGTATGTATATATTAGACCCCGTTCTCACTCACTTTGAAAGTGGTCTTAGTTAGACCGATCCAGAGGAACGGGTCTTGAGGAACGGTTTGCGAGCGTTCACACTCCGAGCAGTTTTTTTATGGCTCAAACCGCTCCACGAGTCAAAGTGGTCTTGTTGCTATGGCAGCTCAGGTCAGCAGGTCAATTTTTTTGCGCGCGGAATACAAACCGTATGTACCGTACTACATGTTTCGCACCGAAGGTCACTAGCTCACTTCCGTTCAAAGTACGCTTCCGTTCACATTGCACATTAGAGCGCTCCAAACCGCTCTTAATAAGACCCGCTCGGAAGGTGGTCTTCTGGAGCGATCCAGAAGTCCACTTCCTGGACCACTTTGACCGTTCTCACTCACCTAAGAACCGCTCCTGAGGAACGGGTCTTAGTTAGAGCGCTCCAGAGCGCTCCAACGAATTGAGTGAGAGTGAAAAGAGAGAGAGAGAGAGAGAGAGAGAGAGAGAAAGGGAGAGAGAGAGAGAGGGGGGGGGGGGGAGAAAAACTAGAGAGTAGAGAAGACAGAGAGACAGGAAAGAAGGCGTTGATATTTAGCGTTCTTCTTTCCTTAGATGAAAAAAAAATGAAACAAAATAAAAGTAAAAAACTATCAAATTTAGCAAAAGATGCAGTATTCCATTCAATAGGCTTACACTCCTGTTGAATAATAGAACAGAGAACTTTTTTTCTCTTTGTGAAATCATATACATGTACATATAGTTTGCTTTATCATCTCACTTATAAACAGATACCGGTAATTGTATACAAACTTCCACTTTTTATTTGAAAATTATTTTCATCCCATTCAGCCTTATTGATGATCATCCTCAGTGTGGAGTTGGTTACAGTCAACAGAGACACACAGTAACCATGGCAGCAGCAGCAGCATCAGAGAACATTCAGAAGCAGGCATCCTCGCTCTTCTCTCAATTGAAATACGAGCATCTGGTAGCTGGTATCAGTGGAGGTGTTCTGTCTACTATGGTTCTTCATCCTTTGGATCTCATTAAAATCAGGTTTCAAGGTGAGACATCTATCTCATTGATTGAGGGACCTAAGAGTCATTTGAATACTTCAATAGTGATCTGTCAAGTTTATCAACCAAAATTTTATATCAAGTGTCTCTCCAAGTTCCACTGAATACTTAAGTAAATTAAATACTGAGATTAAACTTTCAAGTATATTTTGCATGTATACCAAGTGAACAAAAAGAAGAAAAGTGGCATTGTTATAATTTGTTAAAATGGAGCAGTGTTAGGGCAAATATGACATTCTTTTAGTGAAGAGAGTGCTCTCTCTCTCAGAATGAAAAGTTTGCAATGGCCTATTCATTTGATATAACATATCTAATTACCAGTTTGAACCTCAGAGTGAAAAATATGGCAACCACTTTCAATAAATCTTATTGCCACATTACCACCTTTTCCAACCAATATTGACGGGATTGTGGATTATGTTAGAAGGGGGGGGGGGGGGGGACAATTCTGGCATCAAAGTGGCTCAAATGAAAGCTTAACAATGAGAAAAGTAGATCAATGAATGTATGAGGAAGATCTGATAAAGATGACATTCAGAATCCTTCAGATTTAGATTCAGATTCATGTCTAATATCATTTTTCCAGTGAATGATGGTAACCAAGCCCGACCCACATACAATGGACTGATCCATGCCTGTAGGAGCATTGTCACACAGAGGGGTTATCGAGGACTCTATCAAGGCGTAATACCCAACGTCTGGGGCGCTGGGGCATCTTGGGGATTCTACTTCTTTTTGTGAGTTTATGTTGTAGATTTCGGTTTGAATTAATGTGTAGTTTACACTTTAAAGCCCCTCTAAAAGCTTCGGAGCCCGAAAGTTTTGATGGCAAATTTCACCTGAATTGTATCATAATGTGAAAGAAAAATGTCATTAAAAAAAGGGGATTTTTAAAACAACAAAACATCATCTTTCATGTTATGATACAATTTAAATGAAATTTTGACATCAAATTGGGGCAAATTTTCTTTAAGCATATTTTTGCTGTTTTGCCTTGAAAGCTAATCTACTGACCAATGTTTCTGCGTAATTGTTCATAATAATTCATATGTCCACAACTATGCTGTAAGAATACAGGAGATTAGAATGGGCTAGAGATAGAAATTTATGTGCAGGGATCAAATTGTTCTATTCCCATTGTGTTAAAAAGATAGCAGCCAATATGAGAGGTGTCCTGTACACTTGTAGTCATGACAGAAAGATTTAATGATCGCGAAAAGAACCCAGGTTCACATTTGTGTTTGCCAGATCAAACTGAATGCCAATTCATCGGATGAGATAGACATGTGACATGTGACATGAGACATGTGTCTTGTAGCGTTTTAACAACATTCTCAGCTTGTGATGAATGCTGTTGTTTCTTTGCATTCCATCTGCATTTCAATTAATTTGTTCCATCTTTGTTTTATTTGTCTGCAGTTACAATGCAATAAAGACATACATGCAGGCAGATACATCTACACCACTAGGTGCTGGTCATCACATGTTAGCTGCTGCACAATCAGGTGATTAATCTCTTTGAATACATACATACATGCCTACCGTTCCGATTTTAACGGAACTGTTCCGTTTTTGAAGTTTTTATAGCCCTAAAAAACGGAACGTTCCGATTTTGGGGAATTTGGCTTTCCATACATAGCATTGATCCGATCGAGGTACCTCCGATCGAGTGCTGAACGGATTGCATTGCGCAAGGTGCGTGCAGCGTGCACTGATATGTACGTACAGTGGCAGCGTGTTGCTGCTCGCCACGTGCACTCTGATATGTGTTTCCGTACGTAAATACTTGCGCTGGCAAATCTCGTAAGTATAATTTCTATACGTGTGCATGCGCATATCAGCATGCATGCATTCGCTATCGCGGCTAGCGCACCGTGGGTCCGGAGGTACTGTATACTTTGTGATTTGTCTCGGAAGAAAATCTGTCAAAATGAGCGGAACAGCAGCAAGACGAATTCAGAAGTACAAACAGGAATACAAGGAACGATTTCCCTTTATTAGAGCAAGCACAAAAGGGGAGGAATATGCATACTGCATTTATTGTCGGCAAGATGTCTTGTTCTGCTGACATTGATTTTGACAACCTCATTTACATGTAGCTCAATGAGTTACAATAATTTTGGATTGTTGACTGTTGTCTGGAAAGTTGAATACCATTATTGCCAGTCTCATTTTATGCATAGATCTATGTCATGTATAATTATTTAAAAAGTAACTAGACTTAAATGCATCACTCTGCATGAGTGGCTAATTAAATCTAGACCTATGTCTATTAATATTATATGCTCTGCCTCTGCCAAGGATAAATTAAAATGTGGAATTCACTTCAATCACTTTTTTGTTTGGTATGACACAAAAATTACCCATAAACTTGGGTTGAATTTTAGGGGAAATGGTCCCTAAAATAGGCTCAGATTGCACCAGAGAGCATCTGGAAACCCAGAGCTTCCAGGGCCCTAAAGCGGGCCCTGGACCCCGGCTAAAAACTTCGCGCTTCACGCTCGTGATGTGCGCTTCGCGCACATAGTGTACAGATTTCTGATTTTCAAATGTTGGCATGTATGATACATACCTCTTGGCTCGCACAATAACATTATATTGTCTTTCTTTAAATGAGAATTCACAATGATATTGCAAATTTTCAATCTATATGATTTAAATAGCTTCTATGAAATAGGAGAATCAAATGTATTTATCTGGCTAGGAATATGAATCAAATAGGTAATTTATAGAAATGAATCCTACACTGGCTTGCTTATCTGCCAAGATGAATCTAGATTTCTATCCTGACCAGTATACTTTGGTCAGGGGTTTATAAATTGGGAGTTCTAGTATTATGAAAAAGACATTTGGAAATTAATTTACCTAGAATGTTCTATATCATTTGAGGTAAATACAATGCCTGTTTTAAATGATAAATATTTTTTAAAGTAATGGAAATAAAGAGGATGAATATGACCAAATGTTGTCCCTTCCCAGATTTCACCGTCATGATTGAGTGTGTCAAGTGAGATTAGTTGCAATGCTACACCACTATTACAATCAGACTCTGCATTTCTCAGAAGCTCATCTTATGATTTCCTTATTTTCTACAGGTGTGATGACTCTCTTCATAACTAACCCTATCTGGGTTGTGAAAACTCGTCTCTGTCTTCAGTATGATGGTATTGACAAGAAGTTAGATACAGGTCATTCAGGTAGAAGATACCGAGGGATGTTAGATGCCTTGTACAAGATCTATAGATATGAAGGACTACGGGGACTGTATAAGGTGAGTCCAAACAATGTTTTTGTGTCTGCATTGTACAAGACACTATTCCATTGCAAATTAACTTCTAGTAGGTGCATACTATGTACAGAAATTTTTGTGGGATGTCAAGTAAATATATTTTCTTCATCGTGAGCTATTGTTGTGTGATGACTGAATATTTGACAATAGATATTTATTACGTTATAATGTTAGTACTGTGTTGTCAATGGGCCTAGTAAAAAAATCTGTAAGAAAATGACTCCATCCCCATATTAAGTAAATAATGATGTTGCTTTGAGTTCATAACATATTCTTTTGGTTGCCACTTTACTTTCAAACTTGTAGGGTCTCGTTCCAGGACTGTTTGGTGTATCCCATGGTGCATTGCAGTTTATGGCCTACGAGGAGCTCAAGAAATCTTATAATAGTTACATGAATCTTCCATCAAATGGACAACTGGTAAGCTTTCCGTCTAACACCATACTACCAGTACTTATTATGTTCATTTAAATGAATTCCATTATACAAATATATATTTGTATAACTTGCTAAACTACCAGTAGTCATAAATTTGATTTGACTAACAAATTCGTTTATCAAACTATCATTGAGACCATGTAATAACTCATTGATATACAGAGAGAGTGTACCATTGTATTCACTTAAAAGGAAATCTGCTAATCTTGCCAATTTGCATGGATTTGTAACATGATTAAGCAAGGTTTGACACTAAAAATGAATTTGTGTGATGGTTTAGAGTTTGGGTTGCCTGAAGAATGAACTTTGTCACATGTATGATTTTTTTCAGCTCTTTTATTTTCAGGCGCCAATATTTTCAATGTTTGTTTTCATGTAGTTTGCAAACTTTGTATGAAATAATCATCATCATATGGATAAGGTATAGATGACTTGTTAATTTGAATATGAAACCATCCTTCTTTCCTTCTCTGCAGGGTGCTTTAGAGTACATCACCTTTGCAGCATTATCCAAGATGTTTGCCGTATTAACAACGTACCCCTACCAGGTAGTACGGTCCAGGTTACAGGATCAACATGCACAGTACCAAGGAGTCATCAACACAATTAGGATTACACACAGGTACCATACTTGCTGCTCTCTGTTTCAATATGTACATTTTAATTGCTTGTTAAGCACTTTGGACCCATTCGGAGTTGAATTGGCGGATGTTAAAACATTATGCTATTATTATTATTACTCTGTCAATATGTTTTATGGCATTTGTCCCATTTTAATGTATCAAATATTCATACCATACGTTGTTTATTCTAATTGAGGTGTACAATTATATAGACAACTATGAAGATCACTATATGATGGAGACAAATTGGCAGATTGATGATGTGGCATTTCCTTTTTAACCTTTATTTTTGTTGTAGAACAAGTCTGATGTATTTTGTCTCATATATAACTGACATCATCAAGATTTTTGGTATACCCAATGGTTCTATCAAGTTGATAGCACTCCTAGGTCTTTGGTAAAACCAAATAACAAAGAACATCAAACATGTCATTTTAATTTTCATATATATTTCTGTCTTCTTGGTACCATATGGGTAAGAGACGGGACATAACATAATCAAATATCTTGGACGTACCCTCTTATGAATAAATAATATATGTATTGATTAGCTGTAATAATGTATGGGTACTACGACCGGAAAGCAGCACATTCATGTCATCTTTTCTGGTATGTGTTGTGTTACAGGGGTGAAGGATGGAAAGGTTTTTACAAGGGACTGATGCCAAACCTCTTAAGAGTCACACCTGCATGCTGTATTACATTTGTTGTTTATGAGAAGATCTCCCATGCTCTGCTGCCATCCAAAGGATGAACCAGATAGACCAGATTCAGAGGGTGCGGTAATATTCAGGACCTCCTACAACAACAGAGGTAGCCAAGCTGAGATTTGAAGATGATCTAAACGAGTGCTGCAATCATTAGTGAGGAATTGACATTGCACAAATATACTATTCCATTTGCAAGGTTTCTCATTTCAAGTGATGCAGCGGTTTCATTCTTAATCATCAGATAAAGCCCATAGTACTCTTTGACTAGTTTATTTCTCATTTTAGTTGTGAACATTTGAAACCCATTTTTTGATTTGCATTAATTAATTTAAGCATTATAAAATTGTTACTCCCTTTTATATGTTCCCTTCTTGTATGCCTTACTGCAACCCTGTATGTTGTATGTAATTTGTAGAATATCCTTTGGCACTAAGGGTTTTGATATTTGGGAACTTAAAATCCTAGGGCAAGTTTAACAATACCATCATGAGTTCTTGTATGTATGTATGTATGTATGGACACCTCAAAGAAAATTGCCTTATAAAATTCACATCGGTTATTCCCGACTTAGACTTGTGATGCTTTCAAGAAACTTGCCCCTGGTATGTGTAGTTTTGGGATTGACCTTTATTTCTAAAATTCATTATTTTATCATGTTCTGACATCCATCCACTTCTCTCTACACATGTTCAGTATAGTGTTGAGAAAATTGAAGTATATTTAGGATTCTCGGATTATGATTTATTCATTATTGTACCTTAATACTGTATTTACTTGAGGTGGTCGTGCTATAGGTTATTGGGTTATCCAGAGTTAAAAGATCCTTATATCAACTATTAAAATTACAATAATTTTTAAATATTTTTTAAATCCTGTAAATGTAGTTGATTTTTATTACAAGGCAGATAGATACCTTTGAAACGTATATATTAGTCATGTATAACAAACCAAGTAACAATTTAAAATCTTTGTTTGCAAAGAAGATACAATGAATACCATATCATACCATGAGAATGTGCTACAGGCATGAAGCTCACAAATGGTGAATTGGATTATGAGATGCACAGTGAAATCATGATACAAAGAAATTAATGTTAATGGTTTTTTAGCAAGTACCGGTACCACTAGAATCATCGCTGCTTTTCAGTCCCATCTTTCAAATAAGAGTCAATGCTGAACCGAGGCCCTCTTCCTTTTGTATGCACATGTAGTATTCTGGCCAAGGGCTGCCCCCACAATGCAACAGTTGCATCATCTTTCGTGTAATTCTTTTAGTTAAGAATTGTTACGCTGTTTTCTTGATATTGTTTATCTTTATTTAAGAAACAGATTTGTTAATAGAATTACCAAAAATAGAAAGAAAAAAAGGGCAGATCACTGGTTGATGGTTGTCATAGGTAACTGCGTACAGGGGAGATACAGTTATACAAAATCATCAGAAGTATTCCTGAAATGTTATGGAAGAAATGATTTTCTTGTGTAGATGCAAATGGGCAAAGCACAAAATAACTCAATTCATGCAATTTGTGCAAAGGCAAGAGGAGAAGATGCAGGGATATATAAATAAAAGAATCAAGTTGTGACATCATTGATACTCAAATGAAAGAGTTGCCATATATCTTTATGAAAAAGTGATCTTTATACAACCTTTTTGTCATCTATTTTCTTCCTGATCAAGTATGGTTTGATATTCATCTACATTTTAAAGAATACATTTTGAACAATGAATGGTGCAATCAGTGTGTGAGATGATGATGATGAATAAATGTACAATGCATTTCATAGAGAAAGTTTGTGTTTATTTTATTGGATGAATGTACATGTGTGATGATTATAGAAATGTATACGCATGCCATCTGAATTTTGGGTAGTGATAGAAGTCAACAGAAAATATATTCTCGGTTAATCATAACAAAACATACATTAAAATTTCAAAAATATAAATAAAATATTTCCAGAACAATTTTAAGAGAAAAATACAGTTGCCAAATTATGTGCAGAGAGATGTGGGTATTGAGCCAACGTTCTGGACAAATGTGTGTAACATGCCACCTTTTATGTGAATGGAGTTGTGCTTTTAGTGAATCTAATATGTAGGTGTCTCATCATATGCTGTGGTGACAATTTCTCTGGGCTTTATTTCTTCACAGAAATTGCATTACAGTCAGGGTTACTATGTAGTTTTAAGTTCATTTTTATGGTGTATGGTCCAGGGTTGAAGTTTAGAAATTACTTAAGTGTAGGGTAGTGACTGCAGAGCAATCATTGCTGGAGCAGGTCTTAGAACCAATTTCTACCAGAGAGAATTTTGACTTGTGTTGTGTAAACCCAAGGTCTGCACATCTCCAACATGATAAAAAGGTTGTAATCATCAATGCAACCAGCTTCTTTCATTACAGCCTTATACATTGATCTATTACCAGAATTATTTAAATGTTGGTGCATACTCTTAGTAGTTCGTATTTAGAGCTATTGCAGTGTGCAACATATTTCTTTGTAATCAACACCAACAATCAAACCACTTATCTGATATATCACCGTCTATTCACCTTTTGTAACCACACCATTAAAACACATTCTACCATTTATTTCTCTACTATGCTCACGTTAAATCAAACCACATTCTACTATCTCTTTCTCTCCTATCCTCACCACCATCAAATCACATTCTATCCTTTTCTCTTTTATCCTTACAACCATCAAACCACATTCTACTCTCTCTCCTATCCTCACCACCATCAAATCACATTCTATCCTTTTCTCTTTTATCCTTGCTACCATCAACCCACATTCTACTATCTCTTTCTCTCCTATCCTCACCACCATCAAACCACATTCTATTCTTTTCTCTTTTATCCTTGCTACCATCAACCCACATTCTACTATCTCTTTCTCTCCTATCCTCACTACCATCAAACCATATTCAACTATCTTCAAGTTGTATCCTCACAATACTCGACCATATTCGATAATAAATTTACAATTTCATGTTCAATTTGTTATAGAGAACCACCATTCAGGACTTATAACAAGAATGACACAATAAATGAATGAGCTTGAGACTTGGTGTTATCTACACATGAGACAATATGATTTATTTGACCCCAAGAACTGACCCCCGACCTTGACCTTACGAGGCCTGCTCTGATGGCATGCTGCGGATGATGTCACTGTCACCTGTAGAGGGTGAGATAACACAACAAAACAAAAATTACAACTGGAAACATTCTTTACATAAAGTTGACTGGATTTGGAACTATCTATTTATTTATTTCAACATAAAAGCCCATTTACAGTAATTGCAGTAAAATGATATTTGGATTGTAGAGCAATTGTAGCTGGAGCACGCATCACACATTATATTTAGGGCACAGGTATTCAAAATTATTCCCTTTGGTGAGAAATACAATCTTAAAGCATATCTTAAAACGCTGTAGCCCTCTGTTAACGAGTTGACCTGATTTGCATTTTGAGTCTACATGGGTGTCACACACGGTTAAGAACTTCAAGTCAAGACAGTATGAATGTGATATAGATACGAGCTACAGTACTACTTCAGAATGTTCTTGTGATGTTCATTAAGGTTAAAGCCCAAGTCTGCTCCAAAAAAAACTTATGTTCAATAGAACCAGAAAAATCAGACAAACCAATCAAAAAGAGTTTGAGCAAAATCTGATAACTTATAAGAAAGTTATGAATTTTTAATGACATGAAAAACTTTGAAAATCACTACACAAATTGGCAACTCACTCATGAGTCTGTGACGTATGGTCCTCACCAATTATTTTCTGTATATTAATAATATAAATTTCCTATTTTCACCCTAAGAATCGTATTTCATCACACCAGCATCCAAGTTAGATTTTGAGTAATATGTGTTTGTGTGGATGCACAAATAAAGAGTAATTTTTGTCCAATTAAATCATGAAAAAAATGAATTTTTATAATTTATAAAAAAAAATTTAAAACTATTTATATAAAAATCAATAATTATAAAAAATACAATATTCAGAAAATAGTATAAATTCCTTAAAATTCATAAAAGTTTTTGGGAAATGTCATGCACGCAATATGATACAAATCATATAACCTGGGCAAAAGCATGGGGAAATCAAGTTTTGGGGGATAAAAGGGAAATTAATGGGATTAAGCTATGTAAAGCAATTGACAAGTTGTGAGGACATGACGTCACAAATTGATAACCATCTTGGCAATTTATGTTGTGATTCTCATTGTTCCATAGTTTTACATACTTTTTCAAAAATTCATAACTTTCTTATTAGTCATCCGATTTTGCTCAAACTTTTTTTGATTGGTTTGTCTGATTTTTCTGCTTTTATTGAAAGTGGACTTGTCCTTTAATACATACCAGGGTCTGTGATGCAGAGTGTGCACACCCTGAAGTACTTTCCGCAGGCTGTCCCGAGTTCAATGTTGTTACCGCTGTAGTGATGGACACCAGTCTTGGCCAACATAGCGTAGTATTCTACTTCACTTTTCCTAAAGTTATCAAAAATGAAGAAACATTTGAAGAGTGTGAGTTTCACACACACTTCATATACTTTCAGGTTTTGCCAAAAGACCGTTATTGTACCATAATTCTCATTCTTGATGACATTTACCTTGAAAAACATTTTCATCATCATTCTAATCAGCATATGACATCTTTAGCAACACTTTGTTTTGTACTTAAAAACAGAGAAAATTATGTGGATAGCAGTAGTGCTGTAAGTCAGACGCTATGTTCGTGTTCGGTTCGGTAGAGTTCAGCATTTTTCACCCGAACTTGGTTCGGTTCGGGGTTCGGTAATATAATAGCAAGCGGTGTTATAGCCACGGCGGTCGGCACTGGGCGGGCTGGCCGGCCGGGCCCGACCAGCACGAAGGACTTCTGCCCAATCCTGCTGAAAAAACAGTGCTTCCGACCAGCACGAATTTCACATTTAAAAACTGCTCCAAACGTAATTATTTTTGAAGAAAAGTACTACTGACATTCGTATTTCCGTCTTGAATCGTGTTTTATTTTCAATTTTAAAAGAATCATGTTTTCAAATTGTCAATAAATGATATTTTTCCAAGATTTTCCGAGACGGTTGTTGTCTAATGTCAGAGTCATGAAAGCTGCCATCTTCAATAGCGATTCAGGCTCGTCAATAACTGTTTTGATTTTCAATGGGAAAAATATAAAATCCCTATTTTTCCTGAATAAATAAATACCATACTATAATATATATTTATTTCATTATTTATATTGTAAAATTTGTCTGATATTGTTACAATTAAAATATTGATTTTTTTTTGTAAAATGGGTTTGAGCTGAACTTGTTTTGATCACGCACATGCATTCTTGTTTATAGCTTGCGATCGCGACGTAGCGTGGTCAGGATTTGGGATTGAAATGAACCACTGGATAGGCATAAATCACAGAGGCGGAAAATAGGAAAAAAGTAAATATAAAATTAGCGATCATGACATGAAAATTAGGTACAAAATGACAAGTTTATTAGCTTGCAAAAACGTCAACATTTTTCTGCCAAACATCCGAACCAGGCCTTTGCGTTTGGTTCGGTTCGGAGGTGCCATGTTCGGCGAACTTCCGTTCGGTTCGGCGGTTCGGCTACAGCACTAGATAGCAGCTAACCAAAATAATTGGCCTATATGAGATGTTTTTTCTTCTTCCAGGGACTGCTGATTTGACAAGTTTTTAACCACCCAAAATGATCATGCAGAGGTAGGAAAGAGGAATAAGCTTTCAAGAAAAAAAACAACAACGATAATTTGGGCTAAGATATATAAAGGAAAAGAGAGAAGTATCTATGAAATAGAAGATTAGAACTAAAGAAATAGTAATACAATTATTCAGTTGCTTGGCTTGAGGCCATGTAAATAAGAGAGAGATTCCATTTAGTAATCCTATGGAGTTCATAGGCCAATTTCTTACCTAAGTGGGGGTGTGTTGTTAGCAAGAATGACCAGCTTTGCCTTGCCATTGCGGAGAGCCTTCAATGTCTGCTTGTAGCCAAGATTGTACTTGCCACTTTTCATCACCAGTTGAAGGCGAGTGTTGATGCTTTCCATCTGCTTTTTCTTTAAAAACAAAGCAAACATAACCAAATTAAACATGAATACTCTATAGAATTGTATCACTTGAAAATATCTTCTATACAACTTGTGAGACATTATGTACAGGCTAAGTCGTTAAGCTAATCTGATCATTTTACTTTTAGGAAAACTAACCATAGCATAAACTGGACTTCACTTACCAGTTCAAATACACTTTCTATTCTTATTTTTGCCAAGGTCCAAGATCCTCTTTATTTGTCATTTCAATGTGTTGGATAAAATTAAAAACAACACAATATGAAAGATATCAGATCAGCCTGGTCTAACAATACATTATAATAATATAAATATTCTAATGTGATTTACACTGTTGGAAAAATCAACACTGAAATGGAGAGAGCACCCCGACACCCCCTTGATTGCAATCATACAATACAAACTTGATATCAACCTAACTCAATTTCCCTGCTTAGAATCATTGTCTTCATTAGTAGATTGTATACAGTAAAGGCACAAAGCCAATAATCCTATTTGGAAGACTTTGACAAGAATTTTGGCAGACCGAAAGATTCAGTTTTTTATATCGACTTTGGGGGGGGGGGGGGGGGGGGGGTATGGTCACCTTTTTTTAGGTCAGCCATTGGCATAATTATCATTTAAAAAAAAAAAAAAATTTACACAAAAAAAGGAAGGGGTTTAACCCCAAACCCCCCTCCCCCCTGCGTACGCGCCTGGGTGTGCTGGTCCGAGATGAGGAATCGTCAGCATTTTCGCAAATTTCATATTTCTGATCTGCGCGTTGGCGGTGCAAAGACGGATTCCGCAATCATTTTTCTTGATGCATTTTACATTGACTTTGTACAGAGACTTTCACATTATGAACGATAAATCTTCAGGAAGACCCATACCTGTAGAAGGTGAACTGGGGTTATTTTTTAACGCGGAATCCGTTTTTCGCATCTCCAGCACGGGAACCCAAAACCCGCAGAGCGCCGATGAAAAAAAACCTCCGTGAATATGAGGACGATACTTATTATTTGGGACGCAATTGACTTCGTTAACAAGGATCTAGGGGGCCGTTTCTCGAAACGGTCATAACTACAAGATCAACGACATCTCGCCACTGTCACGCAACTTGTCAGCTGAGTGTTTCACGAAGCCGTCTTTGCCAAGATGAGCGACAACTTCCGCGACAAGCGAGTTGTCACTGCTCCGAACCCGTCATATCTTTTTAATTGCTGTAAAGCGCCATCACAAGTCAGTTTGTTGCCATTCCATGGGCCGCGAAATGTATGATTAGTTTCACTATCGATTTGAGAAAAATATAGACGAGTTCGCTACGTAATTCTCTGGGATGCGAAATGCAAATGTAAAGAAGTGACAATACAAATCATACAGACATTTTAAAAAGCTGAATATAAAAATTTAATCACAAATCGTTAAACTATAACATATAAATAAAAGAGATAAGAATGTTACACACCGTTGTCCATAGTCAATTAATAGTCTTTCTTAGGATACCATCATACCTTTCGGGCCTATGTGCATTATTATTCCCTCTCTAATTACTTCTTTCAAATTATATTTTCAATATCAAATCAATTATATAACGAGTATTTATAAGACTCTAGAATAAGAACTGGCCGAGAAAAGGTATTTTGCCTAAAATTCCTTGTCACAATAAACAAAAAAGTACGTATTGATAAACTATCACATTACGGTATCCTTCAACTAACTTTTCATTCGACTGCCAAAAAAAAAACACTCACCGGTTTTTCTTCAATTTAAGAATCTTTACAGAAATATGCAAATCGTTTGGTGATCTACATTTGATAATGACACTATTTGTTATTTATTTTAGGAGAATTTATATGTATATATTTTTTTTGGAACAATTTTAGCCCCAAAACTTGTTTTGGGTTATTCTTGATAAATCAAATGGATCGTGACAAAGACTATGTTCTTGAGCTGCTAGTATCGCGATATATCGATATCATGTCTGTCATGGCTTTGTGAAACGGTTTATCCGCTTCATGACATCTCCGTAGGTCGGCGACAAAGATATGACTGTCATGGAGTTGGTTTCGAGAAACGGCCCCCTGATCTATCCGTGTTTGTGCAGACGAGCCTTTTTCTCGGATCAGCGCCCCTACTGATTAAAGTAGACGATGAACTGGGGGAATCTGTTTTTTTCACATCGCCAGCGCACGGTTTTGGGAACCCAAAATCCTCAGAGCGCCAATGAAAAAAACGTCCGTGAATATGAGGACGATCCTTATTTGGGACTCAATTGGCCCGTTTACGATACGAGTAGGGAGGCCAATGCCCAAATCTAACTTTTTAATTACTAATTTGTTTATACTAAAACTAAGATTAAAAGAAAGCATTTACTTTCACTAAGAAAATCCACCCATCTGCCGACTCCATAGGTTCCATCAAATAGGAGATATCCAGCTGGTTTGTAGCCATTTCCTTCTACGCCTTTCCGTACGTAAGAGCCTTGAAACAATTATATTTCATGTCGCAAAGTTACGTTCATAATTAGACAGGCCCGAGGGACAAAGTTCATGATGAAGTTTAAAACTTCGCGCGAAAGTGCAATCACTCAACAGCGGCTAGCCTTGAATCGGTCGCACACGTACACACCTTCTTCTTCTTAGTTGATCCCTCCACCGACACAGGCAAGCCCCGATGCAGGCTGAAGTCCAGCCATCAATGTGCGAACGATTACATCTTCTACTACTACGAGCCGAAGACGATGGTTCAAAAAAGGAAAGAAATATATATAATTCATTGATATTTACCTTAGATGTGTATTCCAATAATTTGATTTCCTCATGAGTATTCCTTATTATCAACGATCGAGAAGTTACGAGGTCCAATTAAAATCCATCTTGCAGCGAACACAATCATAGCGCACATCCATGCATGCAACGTACGTGTACTAATATTTCTCTCACTCTCTCTCTCTCTCTCTCTCCCTTTCGCTATACGTAACATACACACTCACTAACCATGTATCATACAACACACCTTCAAATCATGGCTTTCATTTCAATTCTCAATTGGAGTATAGACTGCTCACGTAGACTTTTTTTTTACTGAAATATCTTTTTTAACACTTCTCATACATTACTGCACGACACTCGTATCTAGTGCTGTGAGAATAAGGTACTAGGGTCTATAAATAAGACTACGCTTTGGGCACGCTCTGACCGGAGCTCAGATTATGTCGCAATACCCTTTATTTTTGGCGCGAACAATGACGTCACTGTTCACTGTTTTCCTTCTCATTTTGAGATGGATGTAGCTATAGGGCTCAAACCAACGCAAGATTGACAGAAACATCGTACTCTATCTACTTTCGAATGTTCAGTTTGTAAAAATCTGTATTTAAAAAGATATAATCTTTTTTCTTTATATTTTCTAGTTGTTAGAAGTGGCAATTGTGAACATCTGAAATGTTGATCTCTATCAAAAGTTCTTTACTCAAAACGGATCCCATATTTTTAGGGTCTACCTTCTGCCAATGAGAAGGTTTTTAGTGAGCAAACCTCTACGCCCTCTAGGATTTTCTTAGTCGGTGGTGCCAGTGCGTCAAGGTCGTCTGCAACCACAATTATTGGTAGGGTGTCTGATCGCGCACCCGATGTTGTGTGCTAAAATTCTTCCCATAGAGATTGCACGCATCCCTATGCGGTCTACGTGCATTACGCGATCATGCAAAAAAAGTCAAGTTTTTTTTTTCAATTCGAACTTCAAACCTTTATCTGTTGTGATCCTGAAGGTGATACTCGATAAATGAGGTGTCATATGAAAGAGCAGGTGAATTCCAATATTTCCACAGGGCGTTGCCTCGAAATTCTAAAAATATCTTGGTCAAAACAGCGATTTAAACATTGTGTCCTGGCTAACTCCGAGGTTTGTCACTTTTGAGATATGACGCCCCGATCGATAAGTAGTCCCAGTCCTAAGGAATTATGTATGTGCTTTTTTTTTCGCTAGCCCCCAGGGATCACAACTGACAACAGTTTGAAAATACCCTTCTCCACATTTTTCGGATCAGCTAATTAGGGAGGCGTGACTCTGCTCAGCCCAAATCCATGGTGACAGCGCTTAAAATCCGCTGATGCATATGCATTTAGATCACGCAACGTTCAGCGGCGCTTAGCAAATTTTGTGCGTGCTACCCGTGTCGCAAGCCTTTGTACACACTATGACGCGTACGCAGCGTTGAATATGTGTAGGCCTATTATAAGATGGGTAGAAGAATCCCTGCAATCTGATTGGTCAATCTGTCTGTGATGCGCTTGCCCGTACCGTGTGTGTACTACTTGTGTGTGTATTCGGATCTGTCTGTGCTGGCGTGATGTATTTAGTGTGCACTAAGAGAGTGCATCTTCGCATTATCCCCATTGCCTGAAATGTATATGTCGCTAATGGTTAATATGCATTCATCAATTTGCAACGGGCGTCGCTGGGAACGAGCCCCTTGTTCACGTGACATTGTTGAAGGCGGGCAATTCGCATTGTACTTGTCCCCACTGCCTGAAATGTATATGTCGCTAATGGTTAATTTACATTCATCAATTTGCAACGGGCGTCGTTAGGAACGAGCCCCTTGTTCACGTGACATTATTGAAGGCGGGTAATTAATTTAAAAGGCGGGTAATTTAAAGGGCCATCTAGTGCAGCGCGTATGCGCTGCATACGTAATTACGAGCATTATCGAAATCTACTCGATTTACGACTCTACTCGACTCCAGCTCTGAATTGGTTTGCAATTGACGTTTTTACTCTGTTTTTACCTGGATTCAACTAGCTTTTCATCTGACAGCCAGCCCCAGCCAGCATCATGAACCCTGAAGCCGTAAGTAACTTTTTGAATTGTTTTCAGTCTCCTCCAATAAAGAAAGAATACATGACATTTCAGGACCTTTCTATTTTTTTCTCACATTTCGACGTCTGGCAAGAATCTAGTACTGAGTGCAACGGCACACAAAGGGAGTGCCTCTTGGCATATT